ATAGATTAATTTTGTCTTCCCTAAATTACTCTCAACCCTAAACGCAGGTGGTCAGGAGAGAGAGATCATCGATCTTTTAATATATAGAATTTCATAAAATGTATTATTATAAAGTTTGTTTAAAAAGTATTTGCTATTTTCATTATGATTTATTTAAAATAAAATAAACAAATATTTCGAAATAAAATGTATAAATTAAAATTAATATAAATTAAAAATAAAGAAATATTTTGAAATATTTCGAATTATTTCAAATTATTTCAAAAAAAAAATTCAAAATTAATATATTTTGGTCTATTCTATAAAAAAATAATATTCAATAGGCAATTCACCAGGACTCAGAGTATTTATATATGGGTAAGAATATAATTTGCTTATTTTTAACTATTTTTTGCAGATCTTTTCTATTTTAAGTAAGATATATGCTTATTTTTGACCATTTTTGCACAGATCTTTCTATTTTTGGTAATTTTTTAAAACTCTTACCTCTACATAGATTGCTTGGGGTCCTGTTAAAACTATTTATGTATCACTAAGTGTTATTTAGTAAAAAATATATAAAAGAGCTTTGATTCAACTTCATAACAAAATAAAACCATTAATTCTACAAAATAAAAAACCATCGATTTTACAAAATAAAAAAACCATCGATTTTATATTTTAAATAAAGTTCTACTTCTCTAGATAAATTGTTGTTAGTCTTCTGTATATAGAACCTTTAAAAAATATTAAGTTAATATTACTTGAGTTACATCATAACCTCTGCTATTTTTTTGTGCTAAAACTATCTACTTCTATCAAATTACTTATCATTCTTCTTACTATAGAGGGCAATTATCAGGATATTCATAAATATCACAGAGAATATTCGAATTACTATTTTGAAACGGATAATGAAGCTTCATATATAGATATCAAGGTATACAATGAGACTTTGGTTGAAAGTATAGAAATAATTAATGAAGCTTAGCCAGAAGATATGAATAAAGAAATATATGATAGCAAAAGTGAAGGTGAAGAACAGAAAAAAATATTAGTATTAAATACAGAGATACAGTTTGACATATAGAAAATAGCTAAAAAATATCTTGATAACTATTTTAAGCAATAAGAATTCTGCTTATATAAAAGAAGATATATATTAAATTCAAAAGATAATATTATTATAAGATGCAAAATATACAAATACTTTCATGCTAGTACACATAAAGCTCAAAAAGTCATTTTAGAGGAGGATAGAAGGGATCGAGATTCGAATATAGTTGGGTGTTCTTGGCATATTAATCTTGCTTTTCTTAAATTAGCTAACGAAGTTCAGATTAATAGTATAGTTGGCAAATATAATTATGAAATGAATCCTCTTATAGCTGAAACAGCATCAAAGTTCTGAAAACTAACAGAAGAAATATTAAAAAAAATTAAATTCCGAACAATATACAGAAAAATAGGTGTAAAAACTCAATATAATTTACTAGCCGCTTTGTTTCCACATAAAGTAATAAATAAAAAAGACCTGAGTAATGCTATACAACGATTTAAAAAACAAATTAAACCAAATAAAAATGATGCATATAATATGGTTATAGTTATCAACAATAACTTTCAGAATGTAATCGTTGTTTCAGTACTTTTAGAAGATAAAACAGAGTCAATATTCATGTGGGTTCTTCAAGAATTAAAAAATTCTTGCGATGCTACGCCAATAGTCTTATATTCTGATGCTGATCCAGCATTAATATTATCTGTAAGAAATACTTATCCAGAAATATAACATTTTCACTGTATTTTTCATATAGATCTAAATTTAAGAAAAAACTTAAAGAAAAATTGCATGATCAATTTGAATTATTTTGCTCAAATTTTTAGCAATGCGTAATTCTCTGTGCTATAATAAATTTGAAACTGTGTAGAATTCTTTAATTAACAAATACTTGAATAGTAAAAACTATTTTACTAAAGCCTTATATCCTTGCAAAAATAGTTAGACTTGTTATGCTATTAATTAAAATTTCATAGCCAGAATTCAGAGTACACAATAGGCAGAAGTATATAATAAAATAATCAAGAATAGACTAACCAGATCTTCGCATTTAGCTAACGTTGTTGATGAAATCCAAAAAATATTTGATAATCAATCAAAGAAAGCAATTTTAAATAAATTCAAAAACAAAATTCTGACAAGAGGAATACCAAATATAACTGATGAATATTTTCCTAGACTCGACAAAGTTTTACAAGAATACTTAATATTACAAATTCTTCAAAAACAACATAATCAAATAGCACAATCATTTTGTTATGATATATTTTTAATTAACGATTGGTAGTTACTTTTGGAGATAAGATTGATTAAGATTAGTTGAAGAAATATGGCATATCAAAAAAAAAAAAGCATTACTAATATATTAATACTTGTTTTTGGTTTAGATGATAGATGATTCTTATCAAAAGGATATAGCAAGAAAAGATGACTATGATTAACCACAATCCTTTTTTTCATCATTGCTAGAAAATATACCTCATGATTTGGTTCAGGAAGTGTGAAAAATAGTTAGGCATAGTAGACAAAACTTAAAACCACAACATATAATTCTCTTTAATGATGGCTTATATTTGTATACTTGCCTTATACTAATTAATAGAAGAATTGTATGCTAACACTTTTTTTGAGTTATCTCTTACTCAACTAAAGCACAGTTTCATATTTTCTTACTTCCTCAGAGGTGGTATAACAAAAGCAAATATAATGTTATTCAAGAAAATATATCTACATACAATTTTACAAAAAATAAATCAGAACTCACCTTATCCAAACCCTTATTGTTTCAATATTTGATAAGATTTAGACAAATGCTTAATATTGAGCAACTACAAGGATCTAAACAAAAATATAAACTTGGAATAGGTTATGCAAAGAAAGCTCTTAATCTTGTAATTCAGATTAACAAAGTAGGAAAACTCGTTAGTTGCTTAAAGAATTTCAATGAAGAAGCCAAAGATGATTTATTTAGTATACAAAACAATACCAAAAATATACTTGTTAAAGATTCATTGCATGTTGCACATAAAGGTTAATAGCCAAATAGGTATAAATCCGGTGGTAAGCCTTCAAAAAAAATAAGACATAAAGCTCTAGCTAATGAGAGAGATGAAGAAATACGACAAGAAATTCAGAATACTATAGGAATATCAAGTAATAATCAAGTTAGCATACTACAAGATTCAGAAAAAAAGATAAGAAGGTGTTAGAAATATAAACAAGTTGGTCATTATGCTTTACGATATTCAAATGTTGATTAGTAATAAGCATTTATTAGCATTAGTAGTACAAATAAGAATTTAAAAATAAGTTATATGAATTGTTTTACATAGCGTTTGGATTAGCAATATTAGTATATTACACAAATTGTTTTACGTAGCGTTTAGGTTAGTGATGTTAGTATATTATATGAATTGTTTTCTTTTAGCATTAGGATTAGCGATATTAGTATATTATACAAATTGTTTTTTTAGTTAAATAGTTATATAAGCATATTGATTTATCTATAAAATAACTAAATAAATAGATCATGTGATATTATACAGATGATGTCACCCAGGTGAAAATTAGTTATAACTTTTTAATGATTATAAATTTTATAATTTACTTGTAAGAATTAATACTTGGTTTAAGAGCAAAAATTTTTTCTAGCCTTAAAAACATATAAAATTTTAAAAAACTTAAAAAATTTTTAATAGTAAATTCTAATATTACACAAACTTTGTACTTTAATTAATCAAAAGTTCTTTAATAATTTTGAAAAATTTTTCTAATAAAGTTAATAAAGTAGATCTTTAAAAAAATATATTATTAAAATTAATATTTAAGATTTTATTAAAAAAATAGAGTTTAAAGGGTATAGTGACTTAGTAAAGTAGTTAAGTTGTTGTATTTCGAGTAATATATTAGCTAGATAGAAAGTTTGAAACTTATTAGTGCTAAATTTTGAATATTTTATCTGTATGATAGCTACTGCCTTTCAATAATCGTTAGAATAGAATCTCTGTAATCTTGATTGTATTAACAAGACTAGAAGATCATAAAGCATTTGTGTGATATATAAGTTATATAAATAAGTCTTTAGATTGTATTAATCTAAGAAACTGGAAAGATAGATGCTTGTTTGGCAAGACCCAAGTAGTAAAGTAGTACAGATCTTTAATAGTATTATATAAAGGATTATCATCAGAGGAACTAACAAATCTGAATAAAACCAAAGTATTTGGCAAGGCACTCTATCAACAGGCTACCAGAGAAGTAACTAAAGAAAAAGGACATAATTGTGGAGATCAGAAGCAGATCATAGCCCCTTTGGGCTATCTAAATTAGTAGTTTGGGATAGTTAAGAATATCATTAATAGTCTATAATATGTGTATTGTGAATTCTACAAAAGTAGTAGTAGGTAATGGTAGTAGTTTTAGCTTGCAAGTACTTGTCCTTAGACTCGATGTAAGTTACTAAAAATTTAGGTTAGCTGGATTGTGGGTATAGAAAGTTTAGCAACGATGTCTTGAGGATAAATTAGTCCTAAGTGTACGGTAAGCATCTAGAACTTCTTGACTAATAATTGTAACCAAGATGTTCTGATAATACAGGTGGAGGTATATTACAAAGGGTTAAGTGGATAATACGTAATAGTTATATCCTGAGCAATTGGGTATAAGCGGGGCTAAAAGTTCTGCTTATCACATAGTGCCCAGGGTATAACTGATTTATACACTATGATCTTGATATAGTGACCAGGGTATAACTATAGTTAAATTATGAGCAATTTACATATAAAGAACCGAACATGAAAATAATTACAAATGAGGGCCCAAAATAAAAATTATTACATATAGCAGCCCAAAATTAAAAATTATTACGAATAAGAGCCTGTCTAATCTCTGAGCTATGGCGACTAAGCTACAAAACTTACCAGTACATAGCGCTATCTAGAAAAAATAGTAACCAGATTTTTTTCTGGCTTATATATGACTTCGAAACTGATTGCTAGTAAAGTTATATTTATCGTGCTTAATGATAAACATTAGAACTTTGATTTTTATTTGGATCTTTGTTTTGACTTTTATCTTTAACTTCGGTTTGATTTTTACTTTGATTTCGCTTTGACTTTGACTTTTGCTTTGATTTCATTTTGGCTCTCACTTTAACTTCACTTTAATTTTATTTTGATTTTGACTTTCACTTTGACTCTCCTTTGTTTTAACTTTCACTTTAACTTTCATTTTGATTTTCATTTTGACTTTCATTTTAATTTTCATTTTGACTTTCATTTTGACTTTCACCTTAACTTCATTTTGACTTTCATTTTGACTTTCGCTTTAACTTTTATTTTGACTTTCATTATGACTTTCACTTTGACTTTCATTTTGATTTTTACTTTTATTTCGAGAATTTTTGTCGTATTGAATTTAAAAAAATATAATTTGATCAATCGTTTAATTAAGCTGTTTAAGTTTATAAATATTTCATATTTTGTTTTTATTAACATTAATTTAGCTAGTAAATACAAAGAATTTTAATATTCAAATAATCACAGTGTATAAGATCTTTTTAATCAACACGTTAAAATTTGTAGCCATACATTTATTAGCGAGATTCATGAAAAGTACCTTTAGTTTTTTAATATAAAAAAGTTAATTGTGTCTTAGAGCTATTTTAGTAATGTTGTATAATTATTTTAATCTAGCTACTATTTTTTCTGAGTAACGCTATGCAAGTCTTGTAGCTTAGTCGCTTAGTATAGCTCAGAGATCAGACAAATCCTTATTTGTAATAATTTTTAATTTTGGGCCGTTATATATAATAATTTTTATTTTGGGCCCTCATCCATAATTATTTTCATTTTTGGACCCTTATATGTAAATTCCCCTTGAATTATAGGTACAGCATCTAATATAGAATCTAGAAATAGATGAACTACTTA